CAGCGAGGGGGGTAGAAAAGACGATGGTAGAGGAAGCAGAGCAAAACGTTAGACGTTCTCCAAATCAACATCAACTATAGTTCGCTATATTTTGGAATACTAACATCCATACATCCATCATCGACGATTTATTATCTGTAATATTTTTGGCCTATTACAAATGGTGGCAAAACCAGAACCAAATACCAGAATTTCCATCCACGTCACTCCAGTCAAAGGAAGAAGAAGAAGAAGAACAGTAACAAAGAAGAAACACGTGAAAAGAGGCAATGGAGTATCAAAAGAGGGTGTAGACTTCCATCCTCGAGGTAAAAAATAGGAAAAAGACAGCGAAGGGGGTGGAAAAGTCGGTGGTAGAGGAAGCCGAGCAAGATGTCAGAAGTTCTTCAAATCAATATCAACTATAGTTCGCTATAGTTCGGAACACTAGCAGCTCAACAACTATACTAACATCCATCATCGACAATTTGGCAACGCAGAGAGAACCTCTCTATTTCTTGATACGTCCCCTCTTTGTAATATTTTTGGCCTATTACAAATGATAACACAACTTAAAATCACACAACAGTATTTCTAGCTACGTCGCTGCTACCAAAGGAAGAAGAAGAAGAAGAAGAAAAAGAAGAAGATGAAGAAGAATAGTAACAAAGAAGAAACACGCGAAAGGAGGCACTGGAGTACCAAGAGAGGGTGCAGACTTCCATCCTCGAGGTGAAAGATGGGAAAAAGACAGCGAAGGGGTGGAAAAGCCGGTGGTAGAGTATGTCAAGCAAGGTATCAGAAGTTCTTCAAATCAACATCAACTATAATTCGCTATATTTCGGAACACTAACAGCTCAACGACTATCCTAACATCCATCATCGACAATATATTATCTGTAATATTTTTGGCCTATTACAAATGATGACAAAACTTAGAATCAGGCAACAAAATTTCTAGCTACGTCACTTCTACCAAAAGAACAAGAAGAAGAAGAAGAAGAAGAAGAAGAAGAAGAAGAAGAAGAAGAAGAAGAACAGTAACAAAGAAGAAACACGCGAAAGGAGGCACTGGAGTACCAAGAGAGGGTGCAGACTTCCATCCTCGAGGTGAAAGATGGGAAAAAGACAGCGAAGGGGGTGGAAAAGACGATGGTAGAGGAAGCGGAGCAAGATGTCGGACGTTCTTCAAATCAACGTGAACGCGATGGGCTGGAACAGGAGACAGCAGGCGAAGCAATACGCGGTTTTATTATGCGCGCGATCCGCGCGCGCCTTCTAACCGAGGCTTATGAATAAATATCGCGATTTCCGTCGGCGGAGAGAGAGATCGAGGGAGCTCCTAGCCATCGACGGCGCGGCAACAGAACGGATCGATAAAAATTCGTCTCGTACAGCCAGCCGCCATAAATATTCCAATAAAGGTCGACCGTGCGTCGTCGGGCCGCCTCGAGAACGTTTCGTCTCTGTCCCTATATTCAATGCCCGTCCGCGGGGCTGGCCGTCGCTGGAACGCGAGAAAAATTTTCCAGGATATTCTTTTTCCTCCTTCGCCTCTCCCCGTTCTTTTCCTCCTCTCTCCTCTCCTGCCTTTCCTCGCGCAATCGGCGATCCCGCGGACACCACGCGCCCCCACGAGCCCCCGCTTCGAATTTCCTCTGTATCCTTTCCGTGACCGGAAGTGGAAGATCGGGATCCACTTCCTGCGCAGAGTAGGCCGACTTTGCGGAGTCCTTGGTCCCTTGTGGGACCATTTTTCTCCGTCTCTTCGTTTTCTCTGAGATTTTTGACACTTTTAGGGAAGTGGGAGTGTATAATTCTCATTATTTGAGGTATAACAGAGATCATTTTTGAGGTGTGGATGAGGAGTAGTTGGTAGAAGATCGGCCTCGATTTTCTGCAGAGAATCGACCGACTTTGGGGCCACTTGTGGGACCATTTTTCGGTCTCTTCGTTTTCAATAAAATTTTAGAAACTTTTAGGAAAGTGGAAGTATATATTTCTTGTTATTTGAGGTATGACGAAGATAATTTTTGGCATTTGGATGGGTATAGTTAGTAGAAGATTGACCTCGATTTTTTGCAGAGAATCGGCTGATTTTGCGGAGTCCTTGGTCCCTTATAGGGCCATTTTTCGGTCCCTTCATTTTTAATGAGATTTTAGAAGCTTTTAGGAAAATGGAAGTGCATACTTCTTATTATTTGAGATATGACAGAAATAATTTTTGGGGTGTGTATGAGGAGTAGTTGGTAGAAGATTAGGCTCCATTTTCTGCAAAGAATCGACCGACTTTGAGGACACTTGTGGGGCCATTTTCCGGTCTCTTCGTTTTCAATAAAATTTTAGAAACTTTTAGGAAAGTGGAAGTATATATTTCTTGTTATTTGAGGTATGACGAAGATAATTTTTGGCATTTGGATGGGTATAGTTAGTAGAAGATTGATCTCGATTTTCTGCAGAAAATCGGCCGATTTTGCGGAGTCGTTGGTCCCTTGTGGGGCCATTTTTCGGTCTCCCCGTTTTCTGTAAGATTTTTGAAACTCTTCGGGAAGTGGAAGTATATAATTTTCGTTATTTAAGGTAAGACAGAAATAATTTTGTGGGTTTGAATGAAGAGTAGATAGTAGTCGATCTTCTGATCGACCTAGATTTACTGCAAAGGATCGGCCGATTTTGTGGAGTCCTTGGTCCCTTGTGGGGCCATTTTTCGGTCTCTCCGTTGTCAATGAAATTTTTGACACTTTTAGGAAAGTGGAAGTGCATAGTTCTTGTTATTTAAGGTATGACGAAGAAAATTATTGAGGTTTAGATGAGGAATATGTTAATAGAATTATTTGACAATATTGTTTTTTCAAAGTGAACTTGCCACGGTATAAAAGTAAAGTTTACTCATTGACAGACTCTTGTCATGTTATACTAAAACACAGGTATTAGTATTCGACGACTAGTAACTCCTTAGAACAGGTCCAGGGATGTTATCACATACATCTAAAAAATTATAGAACCGTTTTTCCTGTTTCTTTTTTCCACTGCGACGGTGCTATCAGATGTCCTTTCATTGTTACACCACGCCACGTGGTCAATCACTATTCCGAGCTAGTCAGTCAAAGACGTTGCACGTAAGACCTCATGTATATTTTCTCAAGAAATACTTATAGTTTCACTATCAACTGGATACACGTGTTTTAAACAAATTATCAACAATTTTGACACCTACGCTATAGTGACTCAAGGACGACTGAAAGTTTTCAGACCCGTAGATGAGATGATTAGGTGATTATTTGCTCAAGGATGGAGACTTACGTCTGTATTCGCGGATATTGAGAATTATTTAATGACACTGAGCTACAAAAGATGGCGTCGTTGCGTTTGGTTTACTTGTATTTTCCTACACAAGGCTTTGGTGATTAAGTTTGAAATTTCAATTAAAAATCCTGCATTCGAGGTGACTTCTTCGGTCATATGATCTTTCATAGTGTGATTTGTGTTTTAATATACGTGAGATAAAATTTTCATTATTTATTATTCATCTTTTTTAAAATTCTTCCGCTTTTCCCCTTTTATTCATCGGTCAATTTGACAGTTCGTATATAGGGACAGTGTCAACGAGATAACGTGGTTTGGTTCCACCTCGAGAATGTACAATATTTGTTCAGTTAGAGGATATTTTTATCTCGTGAATTTTCAAAGGTGGTAAGTGAGAAAGTGGTCCCTGAATTTTTTATTCGTGCATGGTTTGTTCCTATTTTCATACATTTATATGGTTATTTTTAACGGTGACGTATGATGTATTATACTTAATACGCTGTAATAATATACTGCAAGTGAGGTAATATATTATGTTAGTATGTATAGTACACAGGGGACACTTTCCACACGGTGGATGCGTGATGTGTAAAAAGTCGTGAAATAATTGATGTGCAAAGAGTGTAATACTCGGGTTAAACTAAAGACAATGAGAAAAAGTGCAATTTAAAATATTGAACCGTATCTTCGATAATAACGTTGCACAGTATTTGCCGGATTTCTAGAGATGCATATAAAAATAAGTAAAATGTGTTAAGAAAATTGTGGAATTATGAATAAAATGTGTTAAGAAATTATATAAAATTGAGTATATATTTAAAAAGAAATTGTAGAAATGTGAATACTGACAAGCATGATTCTATGTACCTAAGAAATGTACCTAATGAAATGCTATATATATATAATTTTACATTTATAACAAATGAAAATAAGTCCTTGGTGTATACACATTATTAAAAAAATTCTTATATATAGTGTATCAATATTATTTAAAAAATTGTTATATTTAGTGTTTGAATATTATTAAAAAAATTGTTATATATATAGTGTATGAATATTATTTAAAAAAATTATTATATGCGGTGTATGAATATTATTAAAAGAATTGTTATATATAGTGTATGAATATTATTTAAAAAATTGTTATATATAGTGTTTGAATACGATTAAAAAGAATTGTTATATATATAGTGTATGAATATTATTTAAAAAAATTGTTATATGCGGTGTATGTATATTATTAAAAGAATTGTTATATAAAGTGTATGAATATTATTTTAAAAAATTGTTACAAATATGGTATATGAATATTATTAAGACAATTGTTTGAACCACTTTCCCACTCCGCCATATTGAAAATAATAAGAGAACGTGTATTTTGCTATGAAGAGTCTCTGATTGTTTCTAACCCAAAAGTAAACGAACCATTACGAATTCTATTGTTCCTATTTTGTTTATCCTCAATTTTACTTTTATTGCTTTCATTTATTACTTATTCCCGATATTTATTATTATTTTTCCACTATTATTCTCTATTTAATTCGGACTTTAATGTTCCAATTTATTTAATAAATAACAAGAGAGAAAATAAAATTATTTGTCGCATAAATGCCAAAAAATTTGCCTAAATAGAAATAGAAATAGACGAATTGGACTCACCTTTAGTCAGCAGCGTCGCTGGTTTAAGTAGAAACTTTGAATTTGGTATTAAAGTGGGCCGTTTTCGCTTGCATGACCTGAAACTGAAAACAACAACGACTGAAATTCGACGCCAATATCGACGAGATTTTAAAATGCGTTTCGCTTTGCATCTCGAGCTATGCGTATGTGTAATATGTCTGATTTGCATTAGGTTACGAAAGTTTATGGACGTTTAAGCTGACAAATTATCATGAAAGAGACGTTCGAGTCGCATTGAAATTTTCGAAATATCCTTATCTGAATCATGCGGATAACATTTAACAAATATACGCTCGTCACACATATAAACTGCATGAAAGTTGCAAAATTATTCGCGTAACAGATCGCTATCGTGGGTGACACTAACGTTCGGTTAGGCTACTTCTACAGTCGAATACATGATTTTATTCTTTATGCCTTTCACTTCTCCTTTAATTTCTAGTTATTCATATTTATTTATATTTATTTATATTTATTCCGCTGTGTCGAGCTGCGCTCGAGATTTCATTCCCGGACAACTTCCATTTTTAATTGCGTAAAATATATTCTTTCTTAAATTACACTATAGTTTAATATAAGTATATTGATGTAGATGGATTTTTGGTAAATATGGAAATATTATATATAATTTCTGTTCATACCATCACCACATTTCCAGAACGAATTAATTTTATTTATGACATATGTTTTATAATGTTACAAAATTTATTATTATCTAGGAGAAGATATACTGTCATTTGACATTTATGATGTACAAAATGGAGCAAATATTATTATTTTGACAAATTATCGTCGAAGCTATATAAAATTTAAATAGCAAAAATTTTGTCGAATAAAACATTTTTCCCACAAATTCGAAATTTCGATAACTTCAGTTCGTTCGTATCTACTATTAAAAAGTACTATAATAACCTGAACCTAAACTGGATAGGAAGACGAAAAAGGTTTAAAGAAATTCAAAGAAATTTCAAAGAAACAAAATAAACCCAAGACGATAAACCCAAAACCGATCGATTTTCTTCAACTAAAATCAATACACTCATTCCTCCCATAAAAATACACCCAGCACCATAAAAATATACAATCTCAAAACAGGTCGCAACAAATTTAAGAACTAATGAGAAATCATCCAAACGTTTCAAAATTCAATAACCATCATTTAACAAATCCAATATCCAAGAGATACAAAACCCTATAATTGATCGTCACCAATCCAAACACCCAACCATCAAAAATTTAGGTTCATTCGACATCTTTCACCTAACATCCCAAAAATACATAACCCTAAAATACATCGTCACCAATCAAAAAACCCAATCGTCTAAATTTTAGGTTCATCCCACAGTATTCAGCTAATATTTTAAAAATACAAAAATTTAAAGTACATCGTCATCAATCCAAAGAACCAATCGTCCAGAAATTAGATTCATTCACCTTTCACCTATTATCCTAAAAATACAAAACCCCAAAATTCATCGTCGTCAATCCAAAGACCCAATCGTCCAAAATTTAGGTTCACCTAACACCTTTCATCCATCATCTTAAAAATACAGAGCCCTAAAATTCATCGTCATCAATCCAAAGACCCAATCGTCCAAAATTTAGGTTCATTCACCTTTCACCTATCATCCTGAAAATACAAAACCCCAAAATTCATCGTCGTCAATCCAAAGACCCAATCGTCCAAAATTTAGGTTCACCTGACACCTTTCATCCATCATCTTAAAAATACAAAATCCTAAAATTCATCGTCATCAATCCAAAGACCCAATCGTCCAAAATTTAGGTTCATTCACCTTTCACCTATCATCCAAAAAATACAAAACCCTAAAATACATCATCACCAATTTGAAATCATCCAAATTTTCAGTTCGTCCAGCACCTTAAGTTCATCCAAGACCTTAAAAATACAAAACTATAAGAAACATCGCCATCGATCCAAAGTCCCAACCGTTCAAAATTCAAGTTCATTCACCTTCCACCTTCCACCGTAAAACAACAAAACCCAGAAATACATCGTCACCAATCGCAAAACCACTGACAGCTCACCGAACCGTCCAAAATCTTCGTTTCATCGAACACTCATCAGCCAGCAAAACCGACCCACCCCTGGACTCCTGCCGCTAAAAATACAAAACGGCAAAACTCATCGTCCCCAATCGAAAAACCAGCGCGAAATCATTGAAACGTGTAAAATTTTCGTTTCATCCCCGAATTACCCCGTGGAGCGCGCGGCGCTGCATCGCGTTGGGCCATCGCGCGAAAAAGGGATGAAAACGCTTGGATGACGGTTGATCGAACGGAACGGCGATTACGCAACGGCGGGGATCGTTTCGAAAATCACTTGACGATCACGATCGAACAATCCGGCCGGCCTGTGCCGTTCAATTTAAATATTTAACGGAAGGGGAATAATAACGGTCCATTATGCTCGCGCGACAACGTTGGCGCGATGCGTTGCGCGCTATCGGGCCAGCGGTTATTAATGTTGCTATTTACCATCGCTGCTGGCGCAATTGTCATCACGCCAGACAGTACGCGGCACTAATTACCGTCACGGCAGCCTATTGTTCCACTTAAAGCTGATTGTTATCGTTACGCAAATTGCAGCCAATGCAGCGCGCGCCAGTAATGATTTCGCACCGATATCAATTCCGTCGACCGTCTGAACGCGACTCGGTGTATAGAAATATGCGTACGTTCGTGTGTGTATGTGTGCGAGTATATGTAAATGTTCACACAGGGAGACGGATATACGAGGATGTGTGCGAGCGTGTACAGACAGGGAGAACACGTAGCAACGAATGATAATTTTTCTTATTGTTAACGACATTCCGATCGTTAATAAGCGGGGCGGAATAGTTTTCCATTAGCGGCGGACAGCGAATAAATGACCAGCCACGTAATCGGACAAAATAATCGCCGGCTAATGTCTTGATAGATTGACGCGATCGATCGAGGTCGATGCGCCGCTGCCTGCATGCTCCGAGCGAATTTGCAAGTCTAGTTTCGCGAAATTTCTCCAGTCCACTGGGATAATAGGGGGTGAGATGAGCTCGAGAGTCGTTGGCAGAGAGCTTCCTTGGCGGATGACAGCAGAAACGGGATTTTTTTATTCGCCCGTGAGTGCGAATTTGGAGTGGAACGGTGGTCACGCTTTGGGGGAATAGTCTTGGTAAGTAATAGTGAAAATGGTCAATTTTGGTAAAAATAATGGTGGTACATTATGACTAATACTGGCTAAGATTAGTAAGAATTATTTTACAATTAGGTAGAATGAGCATGGTGGTCAATGGTGGTTAATTTTATTAGGAATAATTTCAGATGGAATAAGTATGTAGTAAGTATGTATCAATTTTAGTAAGAATAAAAATGGTGATCGATCATGGTTAATGTCAGTGAGAATAATTTCGGATAGAATAAATATGGTGGTCAATACTGGCTAATTCTAATAAAAATTATTTTACAGTTAGATATAATAAGCATGGTGGTCCAATATAGGTTAATTTTAGTAAGAATAATTCCAGATAGAATAAATATGATATTCAATAGTAGGCAATTTTAATAACAATAGAAATGGTGATCGATGATGGTTAATCTCAGTGAGAATAATTTCAGATAGAATAAATATGGTGGTCAATACTGGCTAATTTTGATAAGAATTATTTTACAATTAGGTAGAATAAGCATGGTGGTCAATAATGGTTAATTTTAGTAAGAATAATTTCAGATGGAATAAGTATGGTGTTCAATGGTAGACAATTTTAGTAAGAATAAAAATGGGGATCAATGGTGGCTAATTTTAGTAAGAATAAAAATGGAGATTAATGGTGGCTAATTTTAGTAAGAATAAAAATGGGGATCAATAATGGTTAATTTTAGTAAGAATAATTTTAGATCAAATAAATGTACTGGCCAATTTCAGTAAGAATAATTTTGTAATTAGATAAAATAAATATGTTGTTCAATGCCGATCAATTATAGTAATAATAAAAATGGTGATAAATAGTGGTTAATTTCAGCGAAAATAATATTCGTGAGAATAAAAGTGGTGGCCAACAAGTGGTGGTCAATCTTAGTAGGAATAATCTTACAATTAGATAAAATAAATGTTTTTCAATGGTGATCAGTGGTGGTTAATTTCAGTAAGAATAATTTTAGATAGAATAAATATGGTGGTCAATACTAGCCAATTTTAATAAGAATAATCTTACAATTAGATAGAATACATAGTGTTATTAATAGTAGTTAATTTTAGTAGGAATAATTTCAGATAGAATAAATATGGTATTCAATTTCAGTAGGAATAAAAATGGGAATCAGCAAGGGATAATAAGATAAATTTTGAAGAATAATTTAATAAGGAATATTGTAAGAATAATTTATAATAACGAAGATATTACGAAGTGCATAAGTTATAAATTTCGTAGAATTTTGCTATATATTAGATTTCGCGAAGTGAATGTAACCTGTTATTAATAATGGAATTCAGGACTTACAATACCAATTAATCGAAATTGCTGGAAAAGTGTAAAGAATAATTTCATATCAATGAAAACATTTAATTTTCACACATAAATAAATAATTCACAATAATATAATAAACACACCATATTTATTTACATCTAATAAAAATCATGATTTGGTAACTACAATATTTAACTCCAAACCCATTAAATAAATTTTTATTAATTTTCTCATTCTAATATTATTCGAAAACTGAAAAGAAATATTTTAATATGACATAACTGTAACAAATAACATAAGAAATAAGGATAAAAAGCTTTTAAAAATAAAAGTAATAAATTCTCGACATTTTGCAAGAAACGAAGGACATATTTAACATATTTATGGCAATCGATATTTTTCTTATTTCCAAGATAGTGATAAAAACAACTATCGAAATACGAAATAAATGACCGATTAATATTCTTTTACAATACACTTTAAATTATTCTGTCACATCACCTCAACTCTCACATAACACATTAAAATAATAAAATAAATTAACAACAATCTACACTATATTACGCATTTCGGTTCTTCGAATCGTGGTCCATAG